CGGCTTTATGTTAGATCTATAAATAGTTTCTTCTCTTCCTTTATTCTAACATTCCCAGGAAACCCGAAGGGTCCGCGTCAAGAACACGAACAAACCGGTGATCTCTCCGGGGAGATCCCCAAACTTGGCACCTCTCTTTGGTCCGATCTTTCGGCGATTCGAATTCTGGCTCCGGTTTCGGCCCTCGCAAAGTAGAAGCTGGTGTTCATGGAGGGGATCAATCTGTAGGCAAAACCAGCATCGTCACTCGCTTCATGTACGATAAATTCGACAATACCTATCAGGTATTTGCTTGAGGATTACTCCATTTCTAGGGTGATGACTAACAATCATTCATACACGATTTGGTAATTTCATTTTCTCTTGATTGAGCGTACCAGAGAAGGAAGAAGATGTATGATATAATTAAATATGTTGCAGGGTACAATAAAATACGACGTCGTCTCAATTTCCATTTTCCGCTAATTTACTGTCGTACACGTGGCGGTTTCTGATAGGCCAACCCGATCATTCAAAACTTGTTACGATTCGTCGGTTGACAATATATGTCAGCGAGTCCTCTCTCTCTCTCTCTCTCTGGCTGAGAAGTTTTGCTTCGCAGAGAAATCAACTCTAACGACTTACTTAACTTCGCCTTCTTCTATTTGCTCCTCTCTCCATTTCTCTCTCTCTCTTAGCCGCCATCGTACAAGGGAAGAAGCTTTCTCTCTTCAAACACTATGCCAGGTACTTCTGATTCCTCTCTCTCTTTCTTTTTTTTTTTTTATAAAATTGATTAACGAGATTTGACATCGGCTGCTTAGTTTTTTACTGTACATGATTGACTTGCTTAGGGTTTTATCATTTAGTGTTCTGGCTTCTTCTCTGTGTCTGTTTATGTTACCGTAACGTTATAAGTTTATTGTGATGATTCTCAGAGATTAGGCGTACAATTTCATCGCCTTTAGACTTTAATCCTTGTCTTGTTGCCTTAAATTAATGTTAAGCCAATCCGCAGTTTTTAATGATTTAACTGTTATATATGTTGAAACCAATCCAAAGCAGCCTTGCTTGTGGCCTTGTCGTGCTCATATCTCCATTTGTTTATTTACAAGTGTCGTCTGCTTTGGTCACCCTGTTTGGATTGAAAACGATATTTAATTTCTTTATTTTTCTTTCCTTAATTTATTATTTGAAAACATTAGTCTTGTTTTTTTTTGCAGTATCTGTGCCTTTATACTCCAGCATCAAGGGAATTGCTATTGATTTTGTATTTAATAACTAGCTTTACGAACCATTTATTTTGAATGTTCAAGCATCTTTGTGAGCTAATGAAGTGCAGGTCCAGTCTATAAATTGTTTTAAGTTCTGTTTTGCGTTGGTTAGAGTTGAGGATTGCATGTAAATCCCAATTATTTTTTTTGGTGGACCTTTTTCTTATTTTGTTTGGGAGATTAGAGATTTCAAGACGATATTACTAGAACTAAATTTTGGCCTTTGAATTTCAGATTTTGTTAACATCTGTTTGTAAGAAAAAAAAAAAACCTTTTTTTTTAATTTCCCAGAAGGGATAAATATGACAGTATGAAGTGTTGTGGCCAATAAAACTTCGTATAATCACTGGGTAATGAGACCAAGTTGCTCTGCCTTAATCAGTTTATTCAAGGCTGGTTTGATGTAATCTTTAGCGCTGACATATGGTTTTGCATTTATGGGAAACTGTATACATCCGTTTGTGTATCTGAATCATTCAGACTCTACTGAAATGGTGTAGAATAACGTCCTTAAGCAGACCATAAGAATTATTCCGACAATTACACATCAAATATCAACGTTTGAGTATTGAGAA